TGAGTATAAATGTTTGATCTCACGAGTATAAATGTTTGATCTCACAAGTATAAACATTTGATCTCACAAGTATAAATATTTGATCTCACAAGTTTAATGTTTGATCCACGAGTGTAAATGTTTGGTCCCACGAGTGTAAATGTTCGTTCTACGAGTGTAAATGTTTGATCTCATGAGTATAAATGTTTGATCCCACGAATGTAAATGTTTGATCCCACGAGTGTAAATGTTTGATCCACGAGTGTAAATGTTTGATCCACGAGTGTAAATGTTTGATCCACGAGTGTAAATGTTTGATCCACGAGTATAAATGTTTGATCTCACGAGTGTAAATGTTTGATCCCACGAGTGTAAATGTTTGATCTCACGAGTGTAAATGTTTGATCCACGAGTGTAAATGTTTGATCCACGAGTGTAAATGTTTGATCTCACGAGTGTAAATGTTTGATCTCACGAGTGTAAATGATCTACGAGTGTAAATGTTTGATTTTGAGATTATAGTTTGTTCCCACGAGTATAAATGTAATCCACGAGTGGTCCAGGTCTGGGGGTTCTGGAGGAACTGAGGGGTCCAGGTCTGGAGGTTCTGGAGGAACTGAGGGGTCCAGGTCTGGAGGTTCTGGAGGAACTGAGGGGTCCAGGTCTGGAGGTTCTGGAGGAACTGTGGGGTCCAGGTCTGGAGGTTCTGGAGGAACTGAGGGGTCCAGGTCTGGAGGAACTGAGGGGTCCAGGTCTGGAGGTTCTTGAGGAACTGACGGGTCCAGGTCTGGAGGTTCTGGATGAGCCTGAAATTTTCACCATCATATTGAAGTATTTCCTCAGCTTTGTGTGGACCTGATTCAGTCCTGGGGTGGGTCTTTTCTCACGCTGTCGTCTCGTGGTCAGACCTGAGGACGGATGGGATGAAGGGTTCTGTGAACGTGTCCACAGCCCCTCAGCCYGTCTCTTTCCCAGGAGGCTTTAGGGTTGGTGACCTCCTGACCCTGTGGACCCAGCTGACAGCAGAGATCAGGATCATGCTGTCACAAACTTTCTTCAGCCTGCAGGCTCTGCTGGGATGTTTCATGTTCAGGTTTTAGGTTCTGTCTGCTGTTTGTATCAGCAGGCAATCATGTAAATGTCTGTKTTAGCAAAATATCTTCTTAACCAGTGGAACCGGTCCATCTACGTTCCACCCCTTATCTGTAGTTGTGGGTTCTGGTATTGACTAAAAGGCTGATCCAGGACACACCAGAGCTGTCCTCTGAACACCATGGTGTCTCCCAGGAGCAGCCAGTAGACGTGTCCARGGAGAGGACAGTACCCTGCTGGCCCAGTCCCAGACCATGTGAGGTCTGTAAATAAACCTTGTTTCCTGTTTGCTCCACAGGCTCAGATCGCTTTCCTGCAGGGGGAACGTCGAGGACAGGAGAACCTGAAAAAGGACTTGGTGAGACGGATCAAGATGCTGGAGTATGCCCTGAAACAGGAGAGGTGGGACCACACCCTGACCTCTGATTGGTTAATCCAACAACACTTATTCAAACCCTACAAACAGGAAGTACATTTGTTGAATTAATTCCTCTCTGAACATCCTCCTGATGTGAAACTGGTCAGGAGCTGATCTTATTTACATTATAATACTGATAATAAAATATTGATATAATATTGATAAGATAGCAGTTATCTTTACATTTTTGTTTCTAATAATCATCCTAAGTACCCTGACCCAGGGCTTTATGAYCCACATTGTGGTCCTGAACCAAACATTAGTTAAAAAAACTGCACAGCTGTTTACTCATAAATCACCTGTTGATGTTGTTCTTCAGAGCCAAATATCACAAACTGAAGTATGGGACAGAACTGAACCAGGGAGAAATCCAACCTCCCATCTATGATTCAGGTGAGAATATAAACCAGAACTGTTAATTCTAGAAGAGTTACTACGACTGTTATTACTACTGTTACTACTACGGTTATTACAGTTACTGTTACTACTAATGTTACTATTACTACTATTCCTGCTACTATTATTACTACTACCCTTATTACTACCAATATTTCTACTGTCAATACCATTATGGTAACTACTACTGTTAATACAACTGTTACTACTACTGTTTTTACTCTTAATACTATTGTTACTTCTACTACTGTTACTATGTGGAAACTTCCTGCTGGTGTGTGTTGGTTGGTTGGATGATGGATGGATGGATGATTGGTCAGATGGATGATGAATGGATGATGGTTGGTTGGATGATGGATGGTTAGATGATGGTTGGTTGGATGATGGATGGATGATGGTTGAATGATGGTTGGTTGGATGATGGTTGGATTATGGTTGGATGATGGTTGGTTGGATGATGGTTGGATGATGGTTGGATGATGGTTGGATGATGGTTGGATGGATGATGGTTGGATGAACTGATCTCTGTTTGTCCACAGATGAAGGAGACAACAGTGAAACTCACAGTCCTCCACACAGCAGCCATCAGCTGAGCTGGAAACAAGGACGCCAGCTGCTCCGACAGTGAGACACACACACACACACATTTAGAGCACAACAAACACACACACACACACACATGCAGCACAACTCGCACACAGAACAACACAGAAAACGCACACACATGGATAACCACACGGATGTTTTTAGAACATGGCTGTGTGTGTGTGTTTGTGTGTGTGTGTGTGTGTGTGTGTGTGTGTGTGTGTGTGTGTGTGTGTGTGTG